TGAAACTTTTTTTTTTTTTTTTTTTTTTTTTTTTAGCAATATACACAGCTAATTATGTGATTTGCATACAAAAATCCTTTCTTCCTAGGTTTGAGTTAGAAACGCTTTAATAAGTATAACTTATTGTGTTTTATCTTATCTATAAATTAAAAATTTTTTTGTTTTCAACATGAAGATAGACGAACAATATATATGTATATGTGACATTCCACTGTGAATGTTTTGACTTTTTTTTTCTTATTTACAATTATTTCGGAAATTTTCTACAATATCAAATCTTATCAAATTGCAAATTAATAATTATTTCAACAATTAATTAATGTAAAGATTAATGCAAAAGCATTGACACACTTTTTTTTTATTTTTACCAATTTCATTGTCGTTTTTTAAATTCATCTCTTAAACTAAACTTACGATAATCCTCATCGCAAAGAGGCAATCTGTTTTGCTAAACAATAAAAATTGATTGCCCAGTGTATTTAAATCGAGTAAGTCCTCACTAAAAGAGATCGTTTATCAAATTTTTCAGCCTATATGCATTGGCACTAACGATGGACAAAAAAAAATACATTCATTAATACGTAATCCAGATGTTATCTCGTATCAATCAACAAATCGCAAATCTTTATATAATTATCACTTAGAAGTACAAAATAGAAATCTATACGTCAACACATATTCCAACATATGTCCATAATATATATGCACATGTCGTTTAAACATACCTCAATGATTCTTCGTTTATGATCGAAATCACGTAAAATATATCTAATAGAATAGAAAAAAAAAAATTATCATTTGGATCGAGGACATCCAAGGCTATCTGCTATGAAAAAATAAAATTATGCATCGATTATTCGCCAACAATTGTGTATTTAGATGCGTGTAGGAGCGCGTTATGGAGATTCCAATCAATTACAAGGGGACAAACAAAAATTTACAGATACACTGACAAAAGAAAGAAGCCGATCCAAAAAAAGTACTAACAGCCAGTGGCTGACAATTTAAATTCCTCCTACCCGTTACCTCGATGGAAAAAGGTCACAATCATTTACGTAAAAAAAAAAAAAAAAAAAAAACAATCACCCGTTAAACTCATTCGTCGTCGAGCGAAAGGGAGAGAAAGAGGGCCTTGTTACTTCTTGACCTGCAGACTGGCCTTTTTCTTCTGCCTGGGTGTCGGCACGGGCATCGCGCCCTCCACGTCTATCTCTGCGATCTTCTCCCACGACGTCTGTTGCTGGTGGTGATACGTGACTGTGGCTCCAGAGTCGACTTCGGAGCAGCTGCTGTTCAGTCGGCCGTTCTCTGACTCGGCGAGGTCGTCACCGGTGGGAACTCCGCGTCGTCGTCCAGCCGGTATGCCTCGCTCGGCTTCGGTGGGCTCTCCGTTGCCGCCACTATTTCTCGGTACTTCTCGGACTCTACATTTTCGTTGTTGATTTTTTTTTTTTTTTTTTTTTATTCGTTTTTTTCCCAAAGAGAAAAATAAAAGAAATATTGCTTTGTTAGTAAAGTCGAGGTGTCCATATTTTATTATCTTTAATTAATATGGAAACAGAACAGCAATTGCTTCTTTAAAAATATCATCGATTTTTTCATCGTTGTCTATTAAAC